AAATGATTGCAGTAAACCTGGCTTCCCTTGGAAGCTGATTTGAAGGCCATCAAAAAAAGGAGTGCCAGGACAGATCCCGCAATTGCGAGATTTATATGGCGTGGTCACATGCAAATTAAAACAAGTCTCCAGAAATTTCGGCCGAACATTCGGCCACAACAAGCCATGTTCGATCTGCGGGAAGAACTTCCCTCGGCTTGGCTCATTCAGGCTGGCTTTTGGTGAAACACGTTCAGACAGACTTGTGGGCAAACAAGCCAAACGTGAAACATTCAGCGGGTTCACAGCATCATTGAGAATAGGCTTTCTCTAGTACCTTCCCCCCAAACTCACGTTGACAGGTAGTGAGTGGGCATGATAGTTCTCAAACCTTGCGGGGGAGCTTATCGAAGTCGTCTGAGTTGCCGGACATAGCTTGAATTGTTCGCACCTTGTTGCCGGCCCCCCGACTCCACAGCGGGTCAGTGTCCAATTGATGATTCTGTCTGGGGACCCTCCTCCACTGTCGGCAAAACAAGATACATCGTTCTTGCTTCTTTGCGGGCACCCAGTACATGTATGTGTATATATACATATATATTACACACACATGAGGCTCGTCCGTTCTACCTTTTCTTCACACACACACACACTGTTTGTTTGCTTTTTGGGTCGGTGTCTTTTTTCCTCCAGGGCTCCACCTGGCACTGCTCCAGCTGCGGCTCCGTGCAGACGCCTTTGAAGGCCACCACCGCCTCCGGATCCGACGCCGTGGACTCGAAGACCCGCGCGAAAACGCCGCCCACCGCGGGGTTGCGGCTGAGGGACGCGAGCGCCCGCCAGGCCACGCCATCCTGGGGTCACTCGAGGCGACCAAGACCCACTGGGCGTGTGGAGGGACCCCACCTCTTTTGGTGTTTAAGGGGACACCATGAGTGGAGGGGGGGCTTGGGAGCTGGAGCTCACGGGTTGAAAAAACAACCCCGTGGACAACCTTGTATCCTTATGCCCTAGTATCGGTCAGTATCGGTTTTTTCCTCTGCATCGGTCTGCAGTGTTTTGGCAGCTCTAGCTCGAAAGTCGTGACTTTCCGTACAAGTGTAGTCTGCGAAGTACACTCTGCCAGCTTCCAGCTCCAGCTGGGAAGTCGCACCTTTTCAGTACAAGTGTAGTACGCAAAGTACATTTTGGCAGCTCCAGCTGGAAAGTCGCAACTTTTCAGTAGTATGCGCAGTAGACTTTGGCAGCTCCGGCTCGAAAATCGCAGCTTTTCAGTGCAAGTAAGATTTTCAGTACAAATGTGGTACACAAAGTGCATTTTGGCAGCTCCAGGGAAGGCTGCAGGGCAGCTGGTTGGATTCGGCGTGGCGGCCACTGAGTTGGGTATCGGTTGGGTATCGGTTTGGGTATCGGTTTGGGCCCTGCAAATTTATGATTCCGCGATCTTGGCTTGCGACGACAACTTGGACCTGATGTGTGTCTTCATAGCTTCTGGGGGTATCGGTTATTCTTCCTCTGTATCGGTTTACAATGGTTTTGGCCTGCGAAACAAGTTAAGGGACGGCCCCTTACATAACGAAAAGGCGCGGGGTATTTTTTTCAGCCCTGGGGATTTGCCGATGGAGCGAATTGCAATTCGCGGAGCTTCCTGCATCTACTTAATTTTACTTCCAGAAGCCTAAGGTTCGCGAAGTACCTCTGGGTGATCCTCGCGTCTTACTTCAGACTTCCCAACTTCCCGGCGGCTGCCATGGGACACGGGACTGATATTCTTGCGTAGAATTGGGGACCTGGAGATGTCCCATCGTTTTCGGTGGCCAAAGCAGCCAACGGGAAGCAAGGTGCCACTGGACAAGGAAGCAGCCTGGCTTGCCTGTGGGGACGGATTCCAAAGGCAACTAAAAGGAACTAGGCAAGCGAAACGGCCCCCAGCTTCCACACACACCCCAGACCTTCCAATCCAATGAACGGCTGAGTCATTCACTCAGGCTCGGAAAACAAACCACGGGTTGTGCTTGAACCCAAAGCTACCCACCCTTTCCGGTTCCATTGTTTGTGCCAAGGCTCGACTGTGAAATTCAGGCTTGTGGGCCGGTTCTTGGGCTTGGTGGTGTTGTAGGTCAGCCCAATCGCCTGGCAGCGCAAGCACGAACAAGCTGATCATGGGAATGAGGCCGATCAGGCTGTCAAAGAGTCGGGGTCTATGCGAGGAAGCAAAAGAATGTGACTGTCCGCTAGCTATGCCAGAAAGACCAGGAAAAGTGTCTCAGCTACATCAACGGTCCCTTTGGAGTTGCTGGTGAAAACAATGTCTTTGACCTTGTTTTCACCCACCTGCTTGTGCTGTTCACTCGATTCGCAAACCGGGGTGCCGCATTGTTGGCACATCATCAAGATGGCTAGCGAGTCAAAAGTGCGCATGTCCTGAAACATTGCTTCCCGAAGTAGATCTATACATTTCCATGGGGTCACGTGGCTACCCCAAAACAGGGGCAACAGAGAAAACAGCTCTCGACACAGGGGCCCTGGGACGTCTTCTTCTGACCCTGAGGCCTTTTTGGCAGCCGTGGCCTTGCCTTGAAAGCTCGGGCCACTTGACTATGACCCTGGCTCTTGAAGAATCTTGGCGAAAAGTTTTAAGTCTGTGACTTGGGTCCCCCCACCTAATGTGAACTCCAAATGGTCGGGCCAAATACAATTCAAGTGGTCTTCCAAAATGGGCGGCTGCTGGTCAGAAGGACAACCACATAACCAAGTGGGTTGGCTGTTGAAGAAGTGGATTCGCAATCCTCATCTGCAAATTGTAGTGGGGCACTGCAAAACGGGATACCACGAATTGGGCAGGATCATGGCCTCCTGTATAGTTTCTCTGAAACATCCCATCTTCAAGGCCCCACCTGTGATTTGCCAACCAGCCGCCCCCCCGCGGGGTTTGGTTTCGCGGCCTGGGTGAGAACCTTCAGCTTCCCAAACGCCCCCGGCGGACGGTCCGCCAGCGCCCCCGCCACGTCGAAGCCATTTCTCCGCCGGATGGCCGGGCCGACTTGCAACAGCTGCACCTGGCGAGACTCAGATCGCATGCCAAGTCCAAAACTCCCCTGGAGACCTGGCACTGGCATGTCCTTTTGGTGGACCACGTTTCTTGTTGGGTTCATGTTAGTCTGCAGGGCTGTCGGGAACAAAAGCACCCCCAGCTAGAATTATGTTTCGTCCGGAACCTGACACCACGGTTCAGCTTCACTGTCTAACGATTTCGCGCCAGTACCACCCAAGAGCTGAGACATAGCCAGTGAATAAGTGTTGCATTGCTAGTCTTCACATGTTACCTGGTTCCTCTAAATATATATATATCAAAACAGGAAAAACACTTAAAACCAAGCAGGTTTCCCGAAAACCCCCAACATCGAACCATCCAGGGACCCCAAACCAGCGACATGCAAAGGGGGCGCTGGATCACCAGAGACGGGGGACCCCGCTTCATGTACATGTATAATAATAATAATAATAACAATAACAATAACAATAACAATAACAATAATAATAATACTAATAATAATAATAATAATAATAATAATAATAATAATAATAATAATAATAATAATAATAATAATATACATATATATATATATATATATGCACACGTACCTTCATTAAGTGGCCTTCGTGTATTCTCTCCGTGGCTTCTACATATATATATATATATTAAAACTGATATATCACTACATACATGCAAGTAACAACAGTGCGCCACTTTGTGGGTCCCTTTCCGCCTTTAAAGCAGAAAGAGAAAAAGAAGAAAAACAACGCGGCCGCCCCCCTTTCTTGGAAGCCCAAAGTGTCAGTTTGACACAATTCCTGAGGCCGTCGCTAAAGCCATGAATTGTAGAAGCTGCCGTGATCTACGTATTCGCAAGGTACGCCAAAGGCAAGAGTTCTTCCGGACTGCTGAAGCTGAATCTTCTGGCAAATAGAAGGCATCGTGGCATCCTCCTTCTATACGCGTCAGTTCTGACGAAATGAAAAAGGAATCAATCGTCCAACGTGTGGCTCCCGCAAAGGGACTTGGACTGGCTCATGAGGCTTCTATGATATGCATACTCAAAGCCAATTTTGCTTCGTCGACTTCAACATTCGGGGTAGCATCCTACCAAGTTGTCTGGAGATTGGAATCACTTTAGTACAATCCTTGAAACTTGTCCCCCGCCCCACATTCTGTGCAGGTGTCAACGCCAGTGACCCCTCGTGCCGGAGCCCCGCAGAATGGTTGCCTGCAAGTTAGCATTCCTGTCAAACCAGCCCAACAGGTAGACACGTTGGTACTTTCGTGTTGGGGCAGCTATCGGGTTCAGACTCCCGTCCTATAGCAGCCTCCTCATTCTGAATGCCAACACAGCCCACAGCCGTGCGTATCGTTCAACCTAAAGACAGTCTGAGCATAAACAGTACATACGAGCAGTCATCCTTTAATTCCCAAGCCCTCCGAATGGTTGACGTGCTTTATCTTGGAATTCCTGAGCAAAACCCTCACATTCTCGCGGCCTTCAAGCTGGCAATCTCGTCCTGGTCTTCAGTTTCTAGCCGCTCCGCGCCAGTCAGTGCCAAGAAAGCAAGCAACGCGCCATGGAGGTACATTAAGCGAGCGCCGGGGGGTATTCAGCTCTCCTTCTGAGCCAAGTGGGCAATGGGCCGGGGGCCGGGTGACAAAGAGCAACTAGCTCTGGTTGCGGTGGCTCAGAATTTGAAAGGACGTCAACACAGGTTGGAAAACGCGGCAACGTCTGCAATCTCGAAACACCCCGCAGGGAGAACACGCAGGTGTGCACCTGTCAGCCGCAACACTCAGGATGGGACATCATTGGCATCTAACACCCAGACCAAAGCTCTGGTGGAGCTGCGGATGGCAGCGGGCCTTTCGCCCAAACCTGCTGTCAACCAATGTCGAGCCATCTTACGTCTTAGAATCGCTGACTCAAAGAGTGCCGCTCCTGTGTCTAGTTGACTGCCCTGCGTAGATGTTCAACCAACAACCGTGCTGGAACTGTCTGTATTCTAGCTGAACTGCAGTCTTACAGGAGTAATTAAGAGGGAAAGAGGGAAGGAGGGAACAAGGGAAAGGGGCAAAGAGAGGCAAGGAGAGGCAAAGAGAGAGGCAAAGAGAGAGGCAAAGAGAGGCAAAGAGAGGCAAAGAGAGGCAAAGCGAGGCAAAGAGAGGCAGAGAGAGGCAAAGAGAGAACAGAGAGAAAGAGAGAAAGGAAAGAAGAGGAAAAGAAAGATTGGAAGAGACAAAGAAACAATCAAAGAGAAAAAGAGAGCGGGGTAGAGATAGAGAGAAAACACTATGCTCTTACGTACCATTGGAAAGAGCCTTCACCAAAAGGGCTCCGTAAAAATGATTGGTCTCTGTCCTGGGACCGCTTCTCATGAAGCCGACAGGCCAAAGGTGCAACGTGCAACCCTCAAGCAGCTAGTTGTCTTTGGTCTCCCTTTAAAGCAACCCCCAAAAGCGTAGCCTCAAAAAGAACACGACCCAGCCACATGCATGTTGAGGTGCTGGGAATACGCTCCATGGAGGAATTGGTCCCTAGCCTTGAGCCACCCGCATGCAACTCTTACCTGCCAATCAGCCCTTTGTTGGCCCGAAATGTATCCAGCTTGCTCACAACAACAGGAGAGGCAGGGCAAATCCTCAAAGCATGCCAGACTCTGCTTTTCATGCATGGAGACTTCAGGGAGCCGAAGACACGTCAAATCCATTGACAATCGCCACAACAAGGAGAAGGGCCATTCTCTTTGAAGAGCCAGCTGGATAACCATCAGCCCTCAAGCCCATCCTGAGCACACACCAGGGCCAAAAGCAAGAATCCTGTGAAGGTACCATGAAACCACAAGGCACAATGCAACATAATGTTCGCGATGGTTCGGCCCCGTGTATGGGCCGGTTTGCGAACAAATGGCCCCTGTTTGGACCTTGGTGCCGCCATTTGCCGCCCCTTTTTTCTGGAATCAAACTGGCCCACTCTTAACAGTTGAAGGACACCCACCAAAGTTGTTTTTTTTCTGGACTCAAAAAAAAGGCCGTTAGTTTTGGAGGAAACCCTAAAGCACAAGAACCACTGACACTTCCTGAGCCTGTGAGGCAACAGCGCCTCTCCGAGTCTCCGACCCCCGCTGGCAACAGGTCCTTCAGGTGGGTGGGATCGTAGGGTCGCGCTGCGCCTTGACCTGCGACCGATCTCCCGAAGTGACTCGGGTATCCTTGACCTCTGGGCAAAGGACAAGTGGTATCACAGGTATCAGAAGGCCAAGTGTCTTGATTTTGGGTGTCCTTTGACCTCTTGAGTTTAACAGTTTGGGTCTTCTTTGACCTCTGACCTCTGCACCCGAATGTTTTGAAGGCTCGAAAGAATAGTCCAAATGAATGCTCGCACACCCCTTACCCGCCAACAAGTGTGAAGTGCTTTTCATTCACTTGGCCATTGGCCAGGGGCACTAAAAGCGAAGGGACCCCTTGTTGCGGAATGGATGCTTGTAACCTAGCCCCATGATGGGAAGGCGAAAACTGCTGGGTGCCGTGCCGACCCAAGGCTCAGCCTGCGTACCCTTGGCTTTGCTCAAACACTTATTCAAATCAAACCCTTATGCCCTAAGAAACCGGGACGGACAACCACGTCAAAGACACACACACACGCATACAAAACTGCTTAGCTGCGAAAATGTGATTCTTAGCCGGAGACTTGAGTCACACCAAAGAAATGGTTGATCCAATAAATGATTGTCAAGTTGGCTGGTCCCGATTGCGCTTGGCTCTTTCTCCAACAAGCACACGATGATTTCAGATTTTGCTCGGGCAGGACGACGCATGGGGCCTATGTCATGTGAGAACCACACATGCAGTGGACAAGTCATATGAGCCAAACACCTGGAGAGAGCAAGTTCTACTCGTCTAGGGCTTCCTGGACTTGGCAGTTTCCAGAAGTGGCAGAAGCCAACCCTGGATGCTCGCTTCCGCAAACGTCATATCAGGTACAGATTCTGCTCAATGGGAAGAAATGAGACTGAGGCCCCAAAACACCTGCCCCAAATGCTACACCTGCAAGGATCCCCAACCCCACGCAACACGTGTACGCACAAACGAATCTCCAGGACATGAGTGGGCAGGAACCAAAACGCACAGGTTTCGCTCAGGCCGAATTCGTCGAAGAACCCATCGTCGGTTCACTTCGAAGGACATCGCGAGATGTAAGCAGTCGCTTTGAACAAGCTTCTGGTGGCTGGCCCTTTGACTACTTCATACCGACACGCACCCCACCGCTCAGGAGGCCGCCACCCACCAGTCGTCGTCTGTGAGCAGCGAGCGCGCTTTCTCGACGATCTCGAAGTACGTGGCTTCCTGGCAACAGAATGACCCGGGTAGGTCGCGCAAAATGACCACGAACACCAGGGTACCCATGGCATTCCGAACGCTCGATTGCAAGTGGACAAACACACGCACAGCTAGGCCCTTGCCGGTGATTCCATGCTTATCGCTTGCTCATCGACGCGCTCATCGCTGGAATACCAGTATGACGCTGCTCATTGCTTGACAGTAACGTCATGCATATGTGACATGGCTGGAATATGCAGACTTGCTTGGCCTGGCTTAGCACCAGTTGGCGGCTCGAAATCGGATGTCCATGTCTCAACGAGAAAGAACACACCGCATCAGGCCACTAGCCAAGGTTGGGGCCGGCCAAGCCGCCTGACCCCCCGCCCCCCTCCTGCCCCGCCCCCCCAACAACACAAAAGCAAGAAACAAAGCAACCCACCCCCAAAGGCAAAAAACAAACACCCCCCAAAAGCAACCAAACAACAAACACAACAAATGGTCCCAAGTGACTCCATTGCTGGGCCCCAAAATAAACCCTGAAAAGAACCAGCTCAGCTCCGCCTCGAGACTACGCTCTTCCATCTCAGCCAAAGTCTTGCCCGCACGGAGCCGACAGCTCTGCAAAGTGCCCAGGAACTTCACCTCGCCATGTGAAAGAAGGGGCTGCCGTTTTTGGTTGACCCAGTGTAGGTCACCTATGAAAACACCCTTAAAACAGAACAAGGAAAAGGGAATTGCTGGTTTGCCTACTATAGTGATGGGATTTACTGGGTGAATGAAAGAGGAACCCCTTCCTCAAAAAACAAAAACGACGGAATGCGCATTGCTGATTTACGGTGGCCAAGGATTTACACCAGGGTGAAATTAGATTTCGCAATTTCTCTAGATAAGTAGAGGGGACGTTTCTTTTCAAAATGAGTTGGTATTCAATTTGCGATCTACTTTCTCCCGCTTTCACCCAGCTGTACAGGAACTCACTTTCCCAATTGGACTCCACTGGGCAACTGGGTCACCTGAAGCAGTCAGATCGCTTGACGCAAACTCCCTGGGGGACCTAAAACACAAGCTCGCAGTGAGACTCGGGCTAGTGTGTGCATGTTCTAGATATATGCATGTTAATATCTATGCATGGAGAACTTCTACGTAACATGCATATATATATATACGTAACATGCATATATATATATATATATATACAAATATGTTCCAAGTTCTCAATGGGTCATGACATCTGGAGCTTGGTTCAGGGTTGGGGTTGGCTAGTGTCGATCGGGTTTCTGGGCTTGCCAGGCTGAAGGATGTGGACTCCATCTAAGCGGGTAGGGGATCCCTTCGCCTAACCAATTCTAAGCCAGTATGAAGCCTGCCCCAGCTCCAGTGGTATTGGGGTACCCTTTAGACCCAATACTAAACCAACAGGAGCACTCAACCAATATTGAACCAATTCGAAACCAACATAAATCCGAAGGAAGGATAAGACGGAATCCCTTTGTTCAAGGAAAGGGGGCACCGCATGAAAGTTTGGACGCGCGCCCCGAAATAAGGAACGAAGAGCACGTTAGAGGACTGAAAAGGCCATGACCCCCCTAGTCATAGCACACATTCTCCATCGAAAAATGAGGTTTGCTTGTCATTGGGGAGTGAGGGCGGGGGCGCTTCATTGCAAGGGGGAAGTATATTGTAGTACGCATACATACATGTATATGCATACTACTTGTAAATACAAATATTATTAATATTGTTTTCGGGCTGTTTTTTGACCATTTCAGTGCCAATGAACACTGCCCATGGGCACGGCGAAACAGCTTGCTTGGCGGGAGCAACCCGTCCGCGCAAGGCGAAAGTCAACCCCACCCAGACTAACACACAACATCAGTCTTGTCACGGTTGACACCCAAGCAAGGCCTTTCAGATTTCTTGAATTTCAGACTCGCCAAGTCAAAAATCCAGAGAACTATCACAAACACAAACACCTCCAACCTGTCTGACGTCCCCTGGAACAAAATCATATTTCCAGAGTGATAGACTCCCTTTAAAATCAACCGGGGAAAATTACACATATGCCTAAGCAAATGGAAGCCACCCGGTCTAGCACGTCGCCTCGGCATCCCGAAGGTCCGGGTGCCAAATGTCCACGATGAGCACCAGCCGGGTCTCGGTGCCCTCGTGCCAGGCCTACGGGCGAGACCTGTGCCCTTCGATTCCACGAAAAATCATCTGGTGAAGTCTGCTGGGAAGAATGCAAAAACAATTCCAGTAACAAGGGAGAAAAACAAAACCAAAATGGAAGGGGATTGAATGTAAGGACATGTTCTTCGGGACTAAATTCTGGGTTTGGGGAGGGTTCTTTATAAGAGAAGCGCAAACAAATCTTGCACCCGTTGCCCTCGGGAAACGCGAAAACTCGACTCAGAAAGCACGAAAGGACAGCTTAGCTATCGGCTCGGAGCACCTCCAAGCAGGAAGACCACTCAAACTAAAATGGCTTTGGCATCGGTTGAGTCAAACCCAACTCACTTCCTGCGTGTATCGGTCCAAAATGGTCCAAACATTTGTTGATTTTCCGCTAAAAAGGTATTTCCAAAAAGTGTACAGTCCAGGAACTCAGGGAGTGAGCCAAGTTGACATTAGTCTCACGCCGGGCTGCAACAGCATCCGGGAGACTATCCAAAGACGATACGGTTAAGTCGAAGGACTGCCCTTCAGGGGCAAAGGATCGCAGCTTTCAACATGTTTCACTCCCTGAATCTTGCAAGTGAAAACCAGGACACTCTGAATTCTCCCCATGGCTTACTGTTGCTGCATTTAAGCACTACCCAGTGCATTGACTTGTCTGGTATTTCACCATCCCTAGGTGTTGCTGAGGAAAGCGAAATACAACAACCTCTCCAATTGGCTGGAGCTCCCTACCATGAAATCCCTTTGAGAGGTTTCCTCTGGGGTTACTTTCTGTTTGGAGACTGTACGATTCTATTTTCCTACAAAAGCGTTGATAGCACCACGATTGCTCCTTCTCGCCGCCTACCCTTTTGAGGAGAGGGCGGGCTATGTAACCTTAAGCAATCTTGTGGCTAATGTAATATGTATATAGAACTACTATATAATATTATACATCTCACTTAATGGGCCAACACTGGTCACCAAAACTACAGAAACGTCGGCATTGTGAACTGCAATAACAGAAGCACACAACATGTACAACACTGCACCATTTTGGCCATATGCCCTGACATTGTGCTTGACAATACATTTCTTGCCCAGAGGGGCAACCCCAACCCCAGCTCATCAAGCAGCCAGTACTGTGTGGCCCATTTCTTACCACAAGTCCACGCGAGCTTCTGCCACTCATACTCAACAAGCAGGTTTGGTCCAAAAGTCGATCACTCGGCGGGCCACACTTTTGCTTTGCCACTAAAAAGGTCTTTGCAAAAGCTTGAAGTTCATGAACTCAGCAAGTGAGATCACTTCTGTGTGGAGCCCAAATAAATCTAATGTGCCAAGTGGACACAAAGGACAGCTCTGGCGCAAAAGTGGAGACACTCTGCAAAAAGCCTCAAAAGTGAAGGATCCCTTCTGACATGATCTACAAACCAACCGCTTTGGTGAGTTCCCAACTTGAAAACCTCCCGCTCGAACTCGATCCATTCCTGGGCTGTCCTCAGATCTCTGCTAGACTCTTCAAAGCACCACATTGGTGCTACTGGTGCCTTAATCGCGAAACGGTGCATCCTTTACGCCGCATAAGGATTAGTGCCAAAATGGGAGGATTGCCCAGCTCCACTGGGCAGCTCCCCTCAGCAGCTGATGGGAGTAGAATTGATGCCACTCCCACAGCGAGGGAGGAATCCTCCCACCTCACCGGATGCCCTCCCGGCATCATGGGTGAGGAAGGAAAGTAGCGAAGATCAGCTTGATCAATTCGCTTTCGACTGAGGGGAAGACCCGGTTCTCAGTCGGAAATTGCGGGTCCGGATGAGTAAGTTCATCCGCCCATGTGTTAAAGTCGCGCTTCACATGCGACGGTCCTAACATGACCTGGTGGTCATGCAGTGTTAACACAATTTCCATGAGGATGGCCGCATTGGGCATCCTGCGAGTGGAATCGTTAAGCAGGGAGAAAACGTTTCCCTGGTTATCACTAGCAACCAGAATCCTAGTGTGAGAAGCCGAGCCGGCTGCACAAAGCAGAACAGCCCTCACCAAAAGGAGGAGGCCGAAGAGCTCCAAGGCCGCTATCGCCCGCTGCGGGTCCCCAGTAGTGAAGGCCCACGGCTCGCCCTCCGGTGTGATTCTGTGTTGGAACCACTTCACTCGGGACTTGTCGGGGTTGGGCACGTCCGAGCACCAACCACCAACCCATGCATGGTCCGCCTGTTTGCCAGCTCCCGCATCAGATGCCCCCGTCCATGGAAGTGTGGGAGCAAATGGAGATGCCAGTGGGAACCTCTGGTTGAAGAGCTTCCCCAGAAGGATGGCCAGAGCACGAACCAGCTTCGGTGGCCTGCCCGAAGTGGTGCAGGCCTTCTTCCAGCTCCAAAAGGGCTGGAGGAAAGGTTTCGTCAATGGACACGCCGAAGTAGCCCATTGAATCCGGCCCAGGGCTTGTTCCACCTCCTTGCTGGTAAAGATGTCCCCCTGGGCCAGCCGTTTGAGAGTGGCCAGGATTATGACGTGCTTGACTGGAGCCAGCAGCACACAGGGCGTGATTGGGTCCACCACGAATCCCAACCAGGTATTGACCGGGGAGAGCGCCGTCTTCTTCCAAGAAAGCGGGACTCCCAGCGCCAGAAGAGTGGCCAGGATGGCTGTGGCGTCCCAGTCCGCCCTGCTGCATCTGAGGACCCAGCAGTAGTCGTCCACAAAAACTAAGTGCCAGTCCACCTGAGGGAAGATGTAGTACAAGAGTCTGAGCACCAAGGATGCCTTTCTTCCCCAGTACAGTTGTGCCGAGGCCATGCCGTACGTGCCCACTCTATTGACCCACCACCGGTTCTGGATGCAGGCCACCTGGTATTTCCAGTCTTTCTGGAGCACTTTTATGCGCCTGTGGGCCTTGGTGACATCCGCCTTGAGGATGATGAAGGTTTCCCCCTGTGTCGGCGGCTGCCACGTCAGGGGTTCCCCCCTGCTCCCCCCAGGGCGTTCCGTGCCTGGGGGTGTTGGGGGGAATGGGGCCCTCCTATCAGGGCCCTCGGCACCTGGGAGTGGCCCCTTTCCTGAGGGTGTTGACCGCGGAGAGACGTCCAGGCCGCCAGAGGTCTCCATCATCCGCCTGCCCCTATCAGGTCGGCACCTGGGGGCAGGCTGGCTGTGGGGGTCCCCCTCAGGGCCCTCGGCACCTGGGGACTGCCCCTGCACCGGCTGGTGAACATCCCGAGGTTCCTCATCAGTGCCCGAGGATGGGGCTCGGAGTAGATGAGGATGGTCCGCCGCTGTCCTGAGCCAGTGGATGGCATGGAGGCAGTCTCCAACCATCGGTGCGGTGGCCGTGTGAGCCTGGATGTGTGCGTTTGCTCCCCCTTTTGAGCCATCATAGATCGTCCTGATCTTGTCCGACTCATCAATCCCTGCAAGGGGGCCCGGGCAAAGTTCCTCCGGTTTGCAGCGGCACCTCTCTGCCGCCTCGGAGCGAGTGAAGGGCCCGTCCACCATGTCCAAGGCTCGTTCCTCGTAAAAGGTTGATTCGATTTCCTTGGCAAAGAGTTCAGCCGTTGGGTAGTTATCATGAGCCACTGGCGGGGGGGGATCTTCCCCCAGCCAGGCTTCTCCCTTAAGCTCCTCCTTAGTGGGCCAAACTCCCGGGGAGGTCAAGGTAGGGTCCGAGACTCCCAAGGGACCCCCTCTTTCAGTGTTAGGGGGAACTCCCAATCAGGGTCACCTGAAAGGGATGCCAAGTGCGACACTAAGTCCAGGAGGAAGGGTTGTCCTGGGCATCGTTCATGGAGGTGCCTCGGTCCTAGGATAGCCCGCAGCTCCTCGAGGTCGGCTTCCTGGAAGGGGTGTGTGGTGGCACCTGATGCCAGGGACATTCGGACCTTGTCAATCCAGGGCCGGGTAAGGGTCATGATCAGGGTGCCCAAAGTAGCCAATGGGGAAATTCTCCGAAAAGGGTTGAGCCTCCCTGGAAAAGGTTTTCCCCCCCCATCCCTCAGGGGGCGTGAGCGGAAACCCAATTGGACAATCGCCACCCGGTCAGTGAGGTGTGGGACCCTGAAAGCGGGCAGGCATTCGGGGCGGTCCAGGACCTGGTCCCCCTGTCCCTCCTTCCCCAGTTGTTCCGCATCTCCGGCCATCGGGGGCATGGGAGATGGGAAGTCTGGGTTCATTGTTCCACGAGGGCTTACGGTGTCTGCCTCAGGGTGGAACTGCCCGTGCAGGCGGGGCTTCGGGGCGTTCTTGCCTCCGGGCTTTGAGCCCTGGTGTGATGAGGAGGGACCGCCTCCTTGACTGGGCCCCCGTTTTCCCCGGGGGGAATGGCCTTCCGGGGGGTCCGACCCCCGCCCCTTAGGTGGTTCCTTGGGGTTTCCCGGAAATTGTGAGGGGATCCGGATGTGCCCCGGCGCTGCGAGTGACACAGCGATGGCTTTGGCCAGGCCTGCCATCATATCCCAAGGGTATCTGCTAAGAGTCGAGGACTCGTTGGTGCCCACATGTGACTGATGCGTGCACCGCATTTGATCCCAGTCCTGGATCGGGAGATCCGTGGCCAGCGTAGTGGCCTTCTTGACCAGCTGGCCCAGGCGGCACTGGTCGAAGGAGATTGCTGTCAAGGAGTTCTCCTCCATCCAAAGCTGCCCCTCCTCTGTGATCCAGAAGGATGAGCATTCCTTGGCTTTGGGCAGCGAGCTGCTCACCACTGGGTCCTCCGGGTGTTCCAGGAAGGACCTGGGCCCTGGCAGAGAAACCGCCGCTCGTGAGGCCCTTGCCAGGCTGGTGATGTACATCTGTCTCAGAATGAGGATGCTGTCATCATCAAGTTGAGTCTGGGCGGCCTGGTCCAGGTGTGGAAGGCCCCAAAGTGTCTCTGGAGTGCGCCCTCGCACCGGGGTGGGAGCCCCCGGTTTTGGTATGTGGCGCAGGATGGACCATGTCCTGCAGTTGGGTCCTCCTCCAATGAAGACCACTCGGCCCTGCTTTGCTGCCGTGCAAAGAGCTCCATACAGCTCGGGTTGGAG